ATTATTTAGAAAATAAGGAAGAGAAAATATATTTACAGTACTGTACTGTACATCAAAAAAAATCCACCCATAAGTGCACCCATGCAGTTCGAACTTCCACTGTTCAAGGGTCAACTGGTGTTTGAATCTTACAGTGTGTAGCCTTTTCAGATTAAAAGGCTTCTTTCACTTGGTAATACGTATTGAAGTTTTCTCCACATCTTTTCATGGACTGATAGCTCTTTTTTTAGTGCTGAATAATATTCCATTTTCTGGATGTATCACAGTATATCCATTCACCTACTGAACAGCCTCTTGTTGCTTCCAAGTTTTGACAATTATGAATAAAGCGAGTATAAACATCTGTGTGCAGGTTTCTGTGTGGAGGTAAGTTTTCAACTCCTTTGGGTAAATACCAATAAGAATGATTCCTGGATCATATGGTAAGAGTATATTTACTTTTGTAAAAAACTGCCAAGCCATCTTCCAAAGTGGCTGTACCATTTTGCATTCCCACCTGCAACGAATGAGAATCCCTCTTGCTCTACACCTTCACAAGCATGCTGTCTTCTTTATCCATGTGAGCCCTTCACATATTAATCATAGTAGTTTTAAATTCCTGGTCTAATAATTCCAACATCCTTACCATGCCTGGTCCTAATGCTTACCCTGTCTCTTCCAATTGTGTTTTTTGCCTTTTAATATGCCTTGTAATTTTTTCTTGATAACCAAACATGATGTACTGGGTAAAAGGAACTGCTGTAAGTAAGCCTTTAGTAATGTGGTGGTAAGGTCTGGGGGGAAATGTTCTATTGTCCTATGAGTATGTCTCACTCTTTTAGTGAGCCTGTATCTCTGGATTGTGAACTTCACAAGTGTTTCATCCTTTTCTCCCACACCCCCTTAGGTGGAACAGGATGACTAGAGTAGGCTGGAGTTGAGTATTTCCCTTCTTCCACATGGAAAGCTAAAGCTAACTGGAGTTGGGTATTTCCCTTCCTTCTGGTCAGTTAGGCTCTGATGATACCCCAGCAGGTTAGGCTCTGGTTAACTAGGTTCTCCTGAGGTCAACCCTGGTTACAAAGAACAGAGTGTTCTGGCATATTTCAAAATGGTTCTTTTTTTTCCTTCCCGCTACCAGAAGCCCAAGGGCTTTTTTTCTCCGATATTTACTGTGGAACCTGGTTGAGGTCCTGGAGGTAGATCTCACATTATTGTGCCCTTGACCCACAACTGGGTCTCCCTGGAGGGTTTTTTTTTTTTTTAAGATTTTATTTATTTATTTATTTATTTATTTGTTTATTTATTTATTTTTATTTGCGAGAGTGAGCATGAGTGGGGGAGGAGCAGAGGGAGAGGGACAAGGAGATTTTGCACTGAGCAGGGAGCCTGATGTGGGGCTCGATCCCAGGACCCTGAGATCATGACCTGAGCCAAAGGTAGATGCTTAACCGACTGAGCCACCCAGGCGCCCTGCCGTCTCCAGAGTTTTTAATTCAGAGTTGTCCGCACCAAATTTTCAGCAATTTATCAATTATAGTTCAGGTTTTCTTACCCTGGCACTGGCCATCATACCATGGAACACTACTCAATGATAAAAAATGAACTGTTGATACACACAACCTAGATGAATGTTCAGATAATTATGCTAAGTGAAAAAAGTCCCAAAATCTTACATACTGTATTATTCAATTTATAGAAGATTCTTGAAAAGATGAAATTATAAAAATGGGAACAGATTAGTAGTTGTCAGGGGAAGATGTGGGTATGGGAGATGTGTTAGTCAGCTCAATGCGTTATAACAAAGTACTATAGACTGGATGACTTAACAGAAATTTCTTTCTCATAGTTCTGGAGGCTGGGAGGTACAAGATTAGGTGCCAGTCAGTTTGGTTCATAGTGAGGGCCCTCTTCTGGTTTCCAGACAGGTGCCTTCTTGCTGTATTCTTACGTGGCAGAGAAAGCAAGTTCAGGTTTCTTCATCCCCTTATAAAGGCACCAGTCCCATCATGGGGGCTCTACCTCATGACCTCATCCAAACCTAATCACCTCCCAAAGTCCCCAACCTCCAAATACCATCACATTAGGGATTGAGACTTCAATATATGAATTTTAAGGGGATACATTCAGTCTATAACAAGAAGGAAGTGGATATGTCTATAAAAGGGTGAAATGAGGTTTCATTTGGTGATGGAAATGTTGTGCATCTTGACTGTCTCAATGTCAATATCCTGGTTGCAGTACTGTATTATAGTTTTGAAAGGATGATGTTACCATTGTGGGAAATTGGGAAAAGTATACCAAATTTATTTATTCATTTTAGAGAGAGAGAGCAAGCATGAGCAGGGAGGGGTAGAGGGGGGAGAGAGAGGGAGAAAGAATCTGAAGCAGACTCCACACCGAGCTCAGAGCCAATGCAGGGCTTGATCCCACAACAGCGAGATCACAACCTGAGCTGAAACCAAGAGTCAGACCTTAACCGACTATGCCACCCAGCCACCCCTATTTGTATTATTTCTTACAACTGCATGTTGATCTACAATTATCTCAAAATAAAAAGTTTAATGAAAAATTGTCTGCAAACAATGCTCCCCTTTATTGCCCGCACTATGGGTGAATCACTCCCACTGCACTCCCTCACCTTTGTTAGCCAACGGTATCATTCCAAGTTTTCTTAACAAGAACGTAGCCTAATCAGTCCTTAAGGGTGTTGTCATTGACTTTTAGTAGGGTGAGATTTTTGGTCCTTTTGGGGGGGGGGTCTTAGTTTCTTACAGCACAGGGCAGGATGCTACAAACAACCCTATGAGGTAGGTAGCCTAGAGGTAATGTATTTTATGTATTTGTCTGCCTTTTGGGGGTGGTGGCAGTGTCATCCCACACACTTCACCCAATATAGGTTCCTGCAATCTACATCCTTATGTTGCTGGCCCCCAACTGCCTGCATACACATGCAGAAACACCAGACCTTTTTTCTCCTCGCCTACGAGATAGTGTTATGAAATTTGTCTTTAGTGCTCAGACCTTATCTAGTCCTTATTCCCAATGTTTGTCTAATTGTGGACTTTCTAGTCTAACCCCCAACTCTGTACAACCCCACCTCTCTCCTTTCTCACACACTTGCCTCTTCCCTTTGTCCTTCCCTACCATCAGAGAACACACAGAGACACACATGCAAATTTTCACACAAATTTTTGTTTTATTCATCACCATGGACGTATCCTATTTGTGCATGGTTTGGTTCTAAGTAGTTGGCCATTTCTTAGTGACTAGACTTTGGAGAATTCACAGATATTTGAGGTCTCTGGCCCCACTCTTAAGTTCTGGCTGTCCTTAAATGTCATCATTTAAAGTGGTGGGTTTCTCTACACTCTCTTGGTCCTGCTCTGGCTGGTTTTGATTCAGGTTCTCATTCAGCCTGTGATAATGGCCGAACAGTATTGGTCCTTTCGTTTGTTTAGACTTAATTAAAGGAATGGGTACTCTGGGAGAGGTTTCTTCTCTCAAACTCTCTTGAAAGAGTCTTGGCTACCTGCAAAGACAATAGGGCGAGCACAGATGGGCACTGATTTAGGGGGAAGAAGATGGAAGGTGGAAGGGAGCAGGGGCCTCAGGAGAAGCGAGAGGCTGGGGAGGATATGTGTGCCAGGCAAGGACAGGGAAGGAGTCTATGGGACAAGGAATCAAAGGAGATGAGGAAAAGCATGAATGGAGTCATCTCACCTTTGCCACTGCCTCTGAACCGGGGTTGACAAGCAGTCTTCTTTTTCCTCCCTGTGGTGCTTGAAGTCGGTTTTTCTATAACTCTACTAGAAGCCTGTGGTTTACAGGTTACCCTTCCCATGCCAAAATTCCCAGTGGCCTACCAGGCCTCCTGACCTACTTATACATGCTCCCCAGGATAATGAGGGGACACACCCTTCAGCTTTGTTTGGTCTACAAAGCTCCCTCCAGCCAGCGGTAGCCTTGAGATGCTTCGACACCACAAAAGACCATGCTGACAAAACTTCAGGGGAGGAGAGATGCGGCAGTGGGAGAAAGGGGGAGTTTTCGTAGCACCCCTTGAGTCTTCCACACTGACCTGTCACCCTCCTCATCTCTGTATGTCAATTTTGGTGGGTCACATGGCAAGGAGGGTGTCTCCTCCAAACTTCCCCACAGCCACCCTATTCAGTGATACGTCCTGTTCTCTCCCACCCTTCACTGATGCCAAGTTGTTGTGTTTTTTTTATATCTTACCTTCAATCCATCCACGATAACGTGGCCATATCTAAGTCTATGCAGAGATGCAAATCATCTCATTTCCCTCCTACACACCTTGAAGATCATTCAGTTCTTGCTAGTACCAGGGATCTTTTTTATTCCCACCTCCTTTTTACCAGTGACCACATAGCTCTCCTCAGTTTTCTGTTTTCCAATCTGTAATCATTACCTTCAGGCTATCAAGACTTCACTGAATAAACTTGCTCTGTTGGGTACCTCAGTCTTCTTTCTTTTCTAAAAATTTATTTTTTTGAGAGAACAAGCAAGAGAGAGTGGGGGAGGGGCAGAAGGAGAGGGAGAGAGAAAATCTCACGCAGGCTCCATGCCCAGTGCGAAGCCTGACGGGGGCTCCATCTCATAACACTGAGATCATGACCTGAGCCGAAATCAAGACTTGGACACTTAACCAACTGAGCCACCCAGGCGCCCCATGGGTATCCTAGTCTTGTTTCAAATCTGGGGGTCTTGCTTATCTCAGTAGGTGTACTACCCAGGCTTAGGTTTTAATAGTGTAGGGGGGATGAGGCAGATACATAGATGCTGCAAGTTGTAATGGGTGTTTGCATGCAAAAAACTACAAACTAAAACTGATGAGTACACCCAGAATCGGGTTTGACTTAACCAGAGGCATGTGTGCCTTATGTAAAAAGCTCGTCTCAACATGTATCTTCACCCACAAGATACTTTTATTTTACTGCTGGCACTCTTAACATCCTAACTCCTTTCTTTCTGCAGGCTTCTGAAGAAATAGACCTTACCTTCCTGGAGGAGTACTGGTGGAATTCTTTTCTTATGAAAAGCCGTAACAAGCTTCCAGCTTCTAGGTGAAGAAACTTTGTGATCATTTTCAGTTCATTCACCTCCTTAGGTAGACAGTCTCTCATTTGGGTTTTGTCCCTGTAGGAAAGAGGTGATGGAGTTAACTATAGGCCAGAGTGGCTCTATTAATAATCAGACAAAAGAGATTTCAGAGGAAAAAACATTATCAAAACTAAGAAGTCATTAAATAATAAAGTTGTCAATTAATCAAGAGAACAAAATATCCTTAACATTTTGCTACTAATAGAAGATCTTCAAATTACATGAAACAAAAACTGATAGAACTGCAAGGAGAAACAGACAAGTCCACAATCATAATCAGAGATTTCAATATCCCTCACTCAATAAGTGAGAAAACAAGTAGCAGAAAATCAGTAAAGATATAGAAAATTTGAACCACATTGTCAATTAAATTAACCTAATGACATTTACAGAATAATTTAAATAACATCAGAATTCACATTCAAGTGCACATGGGACATTTACCAACAAAGATATAATACTCTGGTCAGAAAGCAAGTCCCAATAAATTTAGAAGAATTCATTTGATGTGAAGTTTATTCTCTGGCCACAGTGGAATTAAATTTAAAATCAATAAGAGAAATATGTCTAGAAAGTAAATAATATACCTATAAGTAACTCATGGGACAAAGAAGAAATCAAAGGGAAATTAGAATGTATTTTAGACAGAATTAAAATGAAAACACAACATAACAGAATTTATGTGATGCTGCCAAAGTGGTACTTATAGGGAAATTTATATTACTAAATGCCTATATTTGAAAAGAAGAAATGCCTCAAATCGATGACCTCAGCTTCTTTCTTAAGAATCTACAAAAAGCGGGTGCCTGGGTGGCTCAGGCGGTTAAGCGACTGCCTTCGGCCCAGGTCATGATCCTGGAGTCCCGGAATCGAGTCCCGCATCGGGCTCCCTGCTCGGCAGGGAGTCTGCTTCTCCCTCTGACCCTCCCCCCTCTCATGTGCTCTCTCTCTCTCTCTCATTCTTTCTCTCAAATAAATACATAAAATCTTTAAAAAAAAAAGAATCTACAAAAAGAAAAGCACCTTAAACCCAAAGAAAGTAGATGAAAGAAAATAATAAAGACTAAAACAATATCAATGCAGTAGAGAAGAGAAAAACAATAGAGAAAACCAGTGAAACCAAAAGATTCTTTGAGAAGGATGATAAAACTGATACACCTTTAGTCAGACAAATGAGAACAAAAGAAAAGACACAAATAACCAATATCAGGAATGAGAAAGGTGACATCACAATAGCTTCTACAGATATTAAGATGATAAGAAAATAGTAGGAACAATGTATGTGAATAAATGTGACAACTTGCATAAAATGGATAAATTTTCTGAAAGACACAAACTACCAAAGCTCACAAGAAAAAATACATTTCAACTACACCTAACTTTATGCTTATGAGATGACTCTAGATGGGCTCCAAGATAGCTTCAGGAAGGAGGCTAGTTGCCTGAGTAACCAACTATGTGATTAGAGGATTGGAAATTTTAGTCCCACCCCCAACTTTTGGGAAGGAGTGACTGGCTGAAGATTGAGTAAATCACCAATGACCAATGATTTAAGCAATCATGTCTATGTAATGGAGCTCCCACAAAAACCCCTAAACTAAGCTATTTGGAGAGCTCCCAGGTTGGCCAACACATCAAGGTTCTGGGAGGGTGACACGTTTTGAAAGGGCATGGAGGCTCTGTGTCCCTTCCTCCATACTTTGCCCTACTGCATCTCTCTGTTTGGTTCTTTCTGAGCTGTATCCTTTATAATAAGCCAGTAATAGTAAGTAAAAGGAAGAGGAGGATGGAAGGAGATTTAGAAAGAGGAGAAGAAGGGTGCCTGGGTGGCTCGGTCGTTAAGTGTCTGCCTTCAGCTCAGGTCATGATCCCAGGGTCCTGGGATCAAGCCCCGCATCAGACTCCCTGCTCAGCGGGAAGCCTGCTTCTCCCTCTCCTATTTCCCCTGCTTGTGTTCCCTCTCTCACTGTGTCTCTCTCTGTCAAATACATACATAAAATCTTTAAAAAAAAAAAAAGAAATAGGAGAAGAAAAAAAAAGAATACATAACCCAAATAGCCCTCTATACATTAATAAAATTGAACTTGTAGTTAAAAGATATCCCAGAGAGAAAATTTGAGACCCATATGGCTTCACTGGTGAATTTAACCAGATGTTTAAAGAAGAATTTACACCAATGCTTCACAAACTCTTCTAAAAAATATTAGAGGGAACATTTCCAAACTCATTCTCTCAGGCCAATATTACCCTGAAATCATAGCCAAAGACATCACATGAAAAGAAAACTATAGATCAATAGCCCTTGTGAATATAGGCACAGAAATCTTCAACAAAATACTAGCTAAACAAGTCCAGCAACTTATAAAAAGGATTATACCACATGAACAAGTGCAGTTTATCCCAAAAATGCAACATTGGTTTAACATCCAAAAATCAATCAATGTAATACCGCATATTAATCGGTTAAAGGGAAAAAACACATGATCATCTCAATAGAAACAAAAAGAGCATTCGATAAAGTCCAACATCCTTTCCTGAATAATAATAATGATAACAATAATAATACCTCAACAAACTAGAAATAGAAGGAAAGTTCCTCAACCCAATAAAAGCAATGTACAAAAACACCACAGTTAACATCATACTTAATGAGTAAAGACTGACTAGTTTTTGCTTAAGATCAAAAACAAGGTAAGAATGCCTATTCTTACCACTTCTATTCAATAAAGCAATTAGGCAAGAAAAAAAATAGAAGGCATCCAGATTGGAAAGGAGAAAGTAAAATTGCCTTTATTCACAGATGACATGCTACTAAAACTAATAAATGAGTTTAGCAATGTTTCAGATTACAAGGTCAATATACAAATTCAATCAATTTTATTTCCATATAGTATCAATGGTCAATTGGACATTGAAATAAAAAATTTACAATAGCATCTAAAAATAAGATACACTGAGAGAAAAATTTAACTAAATAGATGAAGGACCTATGCACTGAAAACCATAAAATTTAATTACTGTTACGATGCCAATCTTCCCAAATTGGTCTACAGGTTTAGTACCAGCCCAATCAATATGCCATTAGTTTTTTTGTACAAATTGGCAATATGATTTAAAAATTCAAATGAAAATACAAAAGACCAAAATAACTTTAGGAAAGAACAAAGTTGCAGGACAAACAGTGCTGGTTTTGACTTATTATAAAGCTACAATAATCAAAGTAATGTGGTTTTGGCATGAAGATAGATAAATAGATCAATGGAGCATAATAGAGAATCCAGAAATAAACCCACACTATATAGACAACTGATTTTTGACAAAAGTGTAATTCATTGGAGCAAGTATAGTTTTAGTAACAAAGGTGTTGGAAAAATGAGTATCAATATACAAAAAAACATAGAACTCTGATCATCCATACCTCCCATCACATGCAAACATTAACTCAAAGTGGATTATAGATGTAAATATAAAACCTAAAACTATAAAACTTCTATATAAGGAGAAAACAGTTATGACCTTAGGTTAGGCAGAGATTTTTTGAAATATGACACCAAAGTACAATCCATACATGAACTAATTGATAAATTGGGCTTTGTCAAAGTTAAATAAAAAAATTCTACTCTTTGGAAGGCACTGTTAAGGGAATTATAAGACAAGCAGCAGGCAGGGAAAGAACATTTATTTGCAAAGCATATATATGATAGAGAATTTGTATCCAAATATATGAAGAATCCTCAAAGTTCAGTAACAAGAAAGCAAACAACACAATTTTTTAAACTGGGCAAAGGATTTGAACAGACACTTCACCAAAGAAGATACATGAATGGTTATAAGCCCATAAAAAGATGTTCAGAATCACTGGTCACTGGGGAAATGCAAATTAAAACCAAAGTAACACATATATACATAGTTATTAAAAGGGCTAAAATCAGAAAGACTGACCCCACCATGTGCTGGCAAGGATGTGGAGGAACTAGAACTCTCACACACAATTGGCATTAGCCTATTGGAGAAGAGTTTGACAGTTGCTTAGAAAGTTAAAAACATACATCTATGTATCATATGACCTCACTGATATGAGGAATTCTTAATTTCAGGAAACAAACTGAGTGTTGCTGGAGTGGTGGGGGGTGGGAGGGATGGGGTGGCTGGGTGATAGACATTGGGGAGGGTATGTGCTATGGTGAGCGCTGTGAATTGTGCAAGACTGTTGAATCACAGATCTGTACTTCTGCAACAAATAATGCAACATATGTTAAGAAAAAAGAAAAAGAAGAAGATAGCAGGAGGGGAAGAATGAAGGGGAGTAAGTCAGAGGGGGAGACGAACCATGAGAGACGATGGACTCTGAAAAACAAACTGAGGGTTCTAGAGGGGAGGAGGGGAGGGGGATGGGTTAGCCTGGTGATGGGTATTGAGGAGGGCACATTCTGCATGGAGCACTGGGTGTTATGCACAAACAATGAATCATGGAACACTACATCAAAAACTAATGATGTAATATATGGTGATTAACATAACAATAAAAAATTTAAAAAAAAACATACATCTAAAATATGACTTCACCATTTCACTCCTAGGTATTTATTGAAGAGAAATGAAAGCACATGGTCATACAAGGACTTGTACACAAATGTTCATAGCAGCTTTATGTGTAATAGTCCCAAACTGAAAACTGTGCAGATGTCCATCAACACATGTATGAATAAGCAAACTATGGCATAGTCATACAATTAGCACACACTACTACTGAGCAATAAGAAGAATAAACTACTGAATCTCAAAATGATTATTCTGAGTGAAAGAAGTCAGACCAAAAATTGTACATGTTGAATGACTGCATTTACATAATACTCTAGAAAATACAAAGTAACCTATAGTGACAGATAGCAGGTAGTGGTTACCTGGGCCCTGGGAGTGAAGAGAGGTAGGAATGAGGGTGCAAGGAAGGTTTGGGAGTGATGGGTAGATTCACTATCTTTATTTTGATCATGGTTTCCTGGACATACACGTGTCAAAACTTATCAAATTGGAAC